ACGGGGCGCCTTCGGCCCCGACGTCCAGCAGCGGCGCTTACTTCGAGGCGGCCGCCCCGCCGCCCGGCGCACGGCCCGCTATCGGGAGGGCCTCGGAGTCGTGGCGAACCTGAGCTTTGCCCCCTGTTCCTCCAAGGAGCCCGCCCGGACGGCTTTCTCTCGCCCGGGCGGCTTTCTCTGACCCAGACGGCTTTCTCGCCCGGACGGCTTTCTCTCGGCTGTTTCTTCCTCGTGAGGCTGGAGCGGAAAACCGGTTACTTCGTTAACTTAAAACAGCACTAATGAACGTAGGAGGATATCTCAAATACTCAGCACTGCACAGTGCTGCTTCACACAAGATAGAACTGTAATTTCAGACTTCAGAGCTAAAAATGCTTTCAAAGGGAGATAATGTACTTTGGGGTTTTCGTTTTTGGAGGCAAGGTCTTGCTGTGTTGTACAAGCTGTCCTTGCAGCCCAGGCTGGCCTCGAACCTGCCGTGATCCTCTTGTCTCAGCCTCCTGCAGTGCTGGGATTACAGGAGTGTAAGGTGGGCTACAGCAGTCGATTAAGAGTTCTCCCACACCGGCTCAGAGGGACATATTTGTACTTAAGTAGCTGTTTTCAGTATAAAGCTAAAATACAAGAAATGAAAACTTTTACCTAAAGCTTTTAAGTGACAAATGAAAGTAGGAAGCTGGTGCCGTATTTGAAAACCATATTTCAAAATGCTGCTTTAAAATACTCCCTTCAGTATTGACCTGAATCCATAGTTCTGTCTCAGAAAAGTTATATTCTAGAGAACATTAAATTACAGTAAGACATGCCCTGCAGTGCAGGTGTCCTCAGCTTTTCTCATCATCGTCAGGTAGGATGTGGAACTGCTCTGCGTCGAGCTGGGCATTGTAATAGTCCAACACTCCAAGGCCTGCTGAAGATAACTGCTTTCAGTGCGGGGTTGAAGGGACTTCGCTGGGATGTGCGTTCATGTCCGTGGGCCGACATGGCCCTGGCCCGGCCGCCACACGCATCATCTGTGTACCCGGTCACGCACCAGCCAGGCACGCATCACCAGCCTGTTGGTCATGCGGGCTCCAGGAGGATGAGGGGCACGAGCAGGACGGGGTGGCCGGGTCCTGGAGGGGGCACAGTTCCGGACATGCACGCCAAGACGGAATGATGAGGACCAGGACTTGCGGGGAGGAGACAGAGGCCGGGTCAGCCAGGCCTGAGGGCTGCAGGTTCCCTGTTGGGCCTGGCCTGTGACTGGGTCTCAGTTGTCCGACAGTATTCCTGGAACATCCAGAGTACGGGATTCACTTGCTTTAAGCTGCAGGCCCCTCCGAGCAGTGCTTTGGGGTCTGATTCGTCCTGCCCATCCTGGCCCAGACACCAGGCATCCGCCCGTCCGCGCCACACATTACTACAGTAGGGGTGCCGTTAGTCCTTGGGCGCCACAGCGGCCAGACTCGGTTTACAGACCATGTCGAGGACTTTTCATGCTGGTGCCCCAGGGGACAAGGGTAGAGATGCTATGGCCTCGGACCCGGAGTGCCACCCGTGAGAGCAAAATGTGACACATGCTTCCTGAGGAGAGGAAGGGAAGAGCCTCTGCTGAGGTTGCTGAGGTCTACAGCAAGAACCAATTTTCTCTGTATAAAACTGAAGAAAGAAAAAGCTCTTGTGAGTTCTGCTGCCCCACCTCAAGCTGTTTGAGCTGTGGCCCTCACGCCAGCATTTGCTGCAGGCCGCAAGTGTTGGGTTTGCTTGTGTTCAGGGAGAAAGCGAGACCTGTGGGGCAGGCACCACCTGCTCTGTCTGGTCCACTCGTGTGTGGGACACTGCCCTCAGGTAGGAGGGCATGACAGTTTCTCAGAGCTCTTGGCGGACAGGTTCTCCAGCCAAGATATGTAGACAGTTGGGGCAGGTACAGTGCAGTGGAATTCATCAAAATGAACCCGTGTTTTGCTCATGTTACTCTTTCCTCGCTAGAGAATGCAATCACAAATGACATCTCTAAAACATTTCCTACAGCACAGAAGAGACATTAAAAATTACATGTCACTGCCTATGATAATACCTGATTTGGTTTTGGTGCATGTTCTTTATTTTCCTTCACTGGAGGAATTTTAGACTGTGTTCAGAATTACTGCTTATTAAGAAATTGAGAATCACCCCCTTTTCCCTAGGTGCAGTCAATTTTTATATGTTATGTATTTTATTGAATAAATTCTTTTTCTGGTATTTTCAGGTAACATCAAGGGAGCAACTATAGTGGATGCCCTGGATACACTTTTTATTATGGGAATGAAAGATGAATTTGAAGAAGCAAAATTATGGATTGAAAAAAATTTAGACTTTAATGTGGTGAGTTAAATAAAAGTTGCTAACTGGGCCCTTAAGTGTTGGTTAACTTGAATACCTCTGTATTGGGGTATAGTATTGTGTTGTAATGTATCCCAGTGGAAACAAGTAATGTAACTATAAATCCTAAAGATATTATTATTAGCAGTGGTGACACACACCAGTAATCCCAGCACTCTGGGAGGCTGAGGCAGGAGGAGTGAAAGTTCAAGCCCAGCTGAGCAAATTAATGATATAATATCCTGTCTCAAAATAAAAGGGCTGGGGATATAACTAAGTGGCAAAGGCCCTTGGTTCAATTCCCAATACTGCAAAACACATATATTTTATATTTATATATATATATAAAATGTGTTACTATACTGTATTCTTGCTCTTATTTTTTGTCAAGAGTAAGAGAAAACAAATCAACATTTATTGAAACCGCCATGTGCCAAGTCCTAGAACAACCAGTGAGACAGAAAGGGAAGGCGCAGGGGCTTCCAGCCTGCATCGGAGGTCCTGAGGGCTGTGGCTCTGCCGGGCCTGCGTGTGCTCCTTTGCTGCGCGAGGCTCACGTTATGGCAGCCCCCTTCCAGAAACGAGGCTTCAAGCTTCCAGGCCTGTGCTCCTGTCAGGCACAGTGAGCACGTCGCGTGTGTCCCAGGGGGCCTGTTGTTCAGCGTGTTGCAGCAGATCTCCATAGCCTGCTGC